ATATATATATATATATATATATATATATATATTTCAAATTTTTTGATATCTTCAAATTTATATTTTATTGAAAAATAAAAACATTATCGCTTTTTCAAAATCACATAAGACCATATTATAACATCGACTGAGATAAAGAATAAAATGAAATATTAAAATAAGATGTATCTCGCTGCATTGCACGAGTACCCTTCTAGTCATATTAAAATGATGGTAAAATTGTCTCTTACTGAACACATTGTTACATGTTAGAGGACCGAAGTTTAACTAAAGTTTTAAAATACTGTAAATGTAGTATGTATTTTATAAAATACTGTAAATGTTGTATGTATTTTATAAAATACCAGTAAATTTTATCGTAATGACGTAAACTGTTAATTGGTTGTGTCTTGTTGGTAACTGCTCCAAGATCTCATGCATTTGAATCATTGATCAAACCTGATCAAGCTAAATCGAAATCGAAAAGTTTAAGCAAATGAGAACTGAAAACAAGATCAACTCAAACTTGTTCAGTTTGAACCAAATATAAACTCGAACCTTTTATAATTTGAAAAATATAGACACAAAATAACAGGTGGTTACGGAGGTTCAAATGTGATGACTCCAGGCTATTCGCATAGCAGATGGTCGTTATGGGATTAGTCGTCTCGCATAGTGAGTTGGATATCCAGATTAATAAAAAAAAACTGTTTTTTTAAATTTAAAAATGGAACAAAAGGTTGAGGTTAAAACCAGAAAATGGTCAAAATACAAGAAAATTAGAATATATCTCAACCGTAAAATGAGATGATTTAACAAATGTGATTACAATTGTCTTTTTTTTAAAAAAAATTGATTTCATTTTTGATTAAAAACCTGATAAAATACAACGCTGTTTGGCAGGTGCTAAATGGTTTGGCGCTGAATGATTTGGTGATCAGAATGATTTGATGATAATGATTAAGAGACTCTAATAATATAGTGCAAAATGAAATATAATTGTTTACAATAAAATTAGGGTGTTGAATGGTTAAGGAATACTCAAGATACAAAATAAGTTAGAGAGTTTTAGAACCATTAAAAGACATACATTTTTTTTATCAAACAAGATTTATCTTTTAACAATTGAAAGATTGCCTCTTAGGGGGTGTATGAGATTGCTTATTTAAAACAACTTATACTTTTTTGTAAAAATGGTTATTAACTTATGTGGTATCAAATCGGAGTTAAATAAAACATGGTTAAAATTGTAAATTGGTAATAAACAGTTTTTCATAAGTTAGAAATGATTAACTTATCAAAAACAGCTTATTACCGGTTTGACACCAGTATAAGCAGTTTTTTTTTCTTATCCAAACACCAGAAAATAGCTTATCACTAGTGTCAAACATAAATAAGTTAAAAACAGTTTTTATAAACAATCCCAAATACCCCCTTAATAAAATTATTAAAAGGTGAACAAACAACATCTAAAATTGAAACTAAACAAATTATATAAAATAATTCTAAATAATTCATAATTTAAATATTAAATTTAATTTCATTTTAAATGCTCAAATTCATTGGATTCCATATCTACCGCGAGTTCCTCTCTATTTAACAAGTTACGCAGGTCACTGTAGGCTGGTTAAACGGCGACGGTCAACATCGACGGTGGCAGACGGCGATGAAGCGAACTAGCAAAAGGAATTTCTCCATTTGAGATCGTAATTGCTCTGTTCAGTTTATCTCTCCGTATGATCATTCGTAATTGAACTGCTTTTGTTGTTTAACTAATTAGAGAACTAACAAGTGCGCAATTTCACTTCTAAATCTTCAATTGAACTACGTTTTCGTTTAATAGTTCGTATAACTAAGGATTACTTGCTAATTCTAAGTTGTTCTGTTTAATTTTTATGCAGTTGATAGTTTGGAACTTCACAAGGCGTCAACAGCGACGGTGGCGAACAACCGGCGGCGAACGGATTAATTGATTTGAGGTATTAAGTATCTGTTCAGTTTATATCTCCATATCATGATTTGTAATAAAATTGCTTATGTTTTCCAGCCTTGGATGTTAAATTATTATATAAAATGTTTTTGAGCTGGTAATATCCATATAATAATGGTATTCGAGCTTCATTGGTTCTAGAAAAAGAGGTATTCTTTGACCTGTGAGTTCTGATAGAGTTTTTAAACTTCAATTTGGATAAACTTTCAACTTGTTGAGGAAAATTCTAAATTTGTAGCATAATGTAAAAAAAACTATATGAAAATTTCTCAGGGAACCAATTCTCAAAACTTCTCATTTTGAGAACCAATTTTGAGTGGAATTTGTTTTGGATCCTATTTTGGGAACATGAATTTGGTTTTGTTCCTCAAAATGGGAACGAAGGCAGAGTTGGTTTCATTTTCGGTGCATCTTTTCCTGTTTACTTATTTTACATCAACATAGAAATATCTAAATGCAGATGCTCATAATGTGATTTGGCTTTTGGTTAATTGTCAGTTATGTTCATCGTAAAAATCTGAGTCTGTGTTAATCGGTGAGTTCTTGTAGTTGATTTTTCTGTTTTCATCATATGAATAAGGTTTCCTTTGTAGGGAATTGGAAACTTCTATCAAGACTATGAATAACCGTGGGGTTTAAAAGTAGGAACATTTGATTGTGATGGTGATCTTTATCTTTTGCTAACTTCAGGCATTGTTGGCTTTGACAAACAATAACAGATCATGAATAACCAAACCAAACCAATCAAATACAATATGTCCCATCCAGAGGTGGGGTCGGGTGGAATGTAAACCGACCAGACCTCTATCCCAAAGAGTTGAGCTGCTGTTTCCGTGAAGACCCCCATCTTGTGCAAAGTGTGCGAAAAGAAATGATAAAAGCTTGCTAAAAGAATTACGGAAATAGAAATATAAGAACTTGAAAAAAGAAAGGTAGCATAAGCAACAATATTCTGACAGAAAACAAACAAACAAAACACACAACCAGAAGCACGTACAAAAAAACATAACCAATGTAGGAAGAACTACACACTCTAGTCTTCATCATTTTCAACAAATATATTTGTCATGCTTCCTTATTTGGCAAGATTAATATGAATCGAAGACTAATAATATAGACATCTGAAGACTGAACATACATTGTGTATAGATAAGTTAACAATAGCTTGTTCTTCAGGCTATGGCACATGCTGAACCTTTAGATGCAATAAAGGAGCCAATGCAGGTCAAGGATGGTAATAGAAAACCTCGAATTCTTCTGGCAGCAAGCGGAAGTGTAGCTGCTATAAAGTTTGGGAATCTCTGCAGCTGTTTCACAGATTGGGCAGATGTAAGAGCTGTTGCCACACAAGCAGCTTTACATTTCATCGATAAAGCATCACTTCCTAAGGATTTGATTCTTTATACTGATGAGCATGAATGGTCGTCTTGGTCAAAGATCGGAGATACTGTGCTTCACATAGAGCTTCGTCGCTGGGCTGATATAATGATAATTGCCCCATTGTCAGCAAATACTCTTGGCAAGGTAACATCACATTGCAACTTATGTTGTGTTTTTAACCCCCGGTGTGTAGCACAGTTGATATATTTGCATAAATACGCTGAGGGTTCGAGTTGTAGTGCGTGAATTATAATTTCTTTGGGGATTGGGCTCCTTGTGGGCACCAGGCTCTTAAGCCAACCACTTAAAAGGTCGTTGTGTACCTAATTTGTCTCTCACATGATGCTCTTAGGATGGGGCTGTGTGGGCCGGTTAGGGGGTTGCCGGCCGAGCTGTGCTGACAGGTGTTCCAATAAAACATATAGAACCGGGCCTTTTTAGTCTTTATCCAATTATATATGTTTTAGTCTTTAGCCCAGTTATAATGTTTTAGCCCCAATAACAATGTTCTAGGCTTTTACAGTTTTCAGCCGATTTGGGGATTCCCAATTCCGGCTTTTGAAGAATGTTAGAAGAATGATATCATTTAAATGGATTTCGTATGTTATTTTATCATTTTAAAACATTTTTGTTTTGTAAGAATTTTGATATAACATAATGTATGAACTTTTTTATTTTATTCTTTCCAAAAAAAGCTTTTATATTTTGTTTTATTTATTACTCGTGCCATAGATCTACTTTCTTGGTAAAGGTGTAACAAGGCTTCCAAAATTTTGGAACAGACCCTTTTTCGACAAACTTATATTGTGCTCTCTTTTCAATCATGTACTTCATCCGATCTATAAAAACCGAGAATTTTGATAAGCACATAGCATAAGTAAATTGCTTGACTATTTATCAAATGACAATAAAAACAAGGACATAATGCTGCATCTTTATCTTTTACTTGTGTGGTGATATAGTGATAAATTTTGCTTTCAATCTGTGGAACTAGATTGCTGGTGGACTGTGTGACAACTTGCTGACGAGCATCATTCGAGCGTGGGATTATGAAAAACCAATCTTCGTGGCCCCAGCAATGAACACGTTTATGTGGACGAATCCTTTCACAGAAAGGCATCTTATGGCGATAGATGAACTGGGAATGAGTCTTATACCACCCGTGGCAAAAAGGCTAGCTTGTGGGGACTATGGCACCGGTGCAATGGCTGAACCATCCCTCATTTTCTCAACGGTAAGACTCTTCCTGGAATCGCATCCAAATGCAGGTTAATTAGTCGTTAATGTTACCATTATTTATGATATCTGATAGCCTGTGTTGTTTCAAATGCGAATTTGTTAGGACCTTTCTCGACTCATTAAAAATCGATATATTGCATCAGTATTCTAAAAAAGAAGACTCCTTCAGACAAGAAAGTGGCTTATTTAGTTACTACTAGCAGCATATGATATGGCGTTAGATTTCCTAGGGATATGTTGTGTTGGTAATTTTAGTGTCATCAAGTCGTGTTTGGTGTAATTGTGATTTAATAGGGATAGACTAGGTGACGAGGCACACATTGAGCTAGGAGGTGTGAATTGCAAACTCACAAATGTTTGACCCTATCACCTTAGATCGTTTTATGGCGGGGGCTGTGCCCCCTTGCGGGGTCCAAGGGGCTGCTCCCTAAAACCTCTACGGATTTTATGAGGATTATTTAGGAATTTTGAGTTTCTGAACATTTTGAGTGAAATTCTGAAGGTTAGAAACTTAGGGTGCGTTCGGTTTGATGGAATGGTTTGATTGGAAAACAAACGTTTTTAACATATTTTCAAACATTGTTATAGTCAAATTCTTCGAAATCCCTTGAAATCCCAACCAACCTCACGGGATTTCCAAATCCTATGTCCGAGGGATTTCAAAGAAATCCTGGGATTTTAAATCCTAGCAATCCTGCAAACCAAACACGAGATTAGAATGGATTTGCATTCCAAATTCTTTCCATTCCTACAAACCAAATGAGTTATTTTGTGGACTCTAACACGCCCCCTCCGATAGAGACTAGACGAGCATAGATTATCCCATAGCGGGTCAAAAGGGAGTCACTAGAGTGGTAAAACCTTGCCATGATACCATGTTATAATATGTGAAACCCATCAGATTACTTTCCAAAAGAGCCATTGAAAAGAAAAAAGAGGATCTAATGTACTAAAGAAAAAACTTACTACCGTTAAACTTAAACTCACTTTCCCAAGTCTTATCCAATCCTGTCCAATTTAAACTTTCCCAATCTCCATAGTGAAGTTTTATAGAAAATTTTATCTTATTAAAACGACAGCTGATGTAGCAAGGAAAAGTGATAACCCAATATCCTTGTAAGAAGCGTCGGTATGGATGTTCTCCGAGTCTTTAATAGAGAACTCATTTCGAGGGTTTCAAATAGCTCCCAATGGGATTTTACCAAACAGTTACGGGGTAACCATTTACAGGTTGTCGTTTAACCTTACTGGTGAGCATGTCAAGGACTGATAACCAGTGGTGGATCCTGGATTTTTGCATATTTAAGGTAGATTAAAGGTCTACAAAGTCGCCAATGTGTTTTTAGCACAATTCCACCGTTACGAGAGATTTTTTAAAAAAAAAATTGGTTGATTTCGAGGGGTTTTTTTAGTTTTTGACTTTTTTTTGGTGTTTTTGGTTACATTGAAAAGGTCTTTTCGATTTTTTGACTGATTTCGAGATACTATTTTTGATTGGTGGAGCCACAGGTGGGAAATTATTGGTGAGAACTATGATAGAAAGTAAAAGATTTGGCTGTTACCTATATAAAAAAGAAAAAGTATATATCCAACCCCACTTTTTACATATCGCATCTGCCTCTGTCAATAACAAAAGGTATAACAAGGACCAAGAATCTTACCCCGTGAGTAAGAAGACTTTTACTTAGTTAACGTTTATCGAAAGAGAGACACTTACTAACAATCCATTTTAACAGCTAAATTTTTTACCGGATAAATAAGTAAAGATGATAACTTCTGTCGATAAATGATTACTTAGTAAGCGTTTAGTAAACCGTCCCTAATCTCGATTCCTGAAATATTTCTCTAACAAAATAATTGATTTCCATCTCTTCTTTGTTCTCCGACAATAGCGCCAAACATTAAAAGGACATTAAATGGCGCACATGCTATCCAGTAAAAGGACATTTTTGCCCTTTTAAGAAAGTACGTTCTCCAACCTCGTTTTCGTTGTCTTTTATTCTTCATTGAACACAATATTTTGTCTAACCCACATCATATCATATCAAATCAAATCACTAATCATTTTTCCAAAATTAGAAATACACATTAGAACACAAAACAAGATAGTACTCGATTTGACAGATCAAATATTAGACGTTTACTGGGTCATTTACCTTATTGGATTATGTCAAGAACCAAGAATCTTATTTGGTAAGAGTGATGACAAGGACCGAGTCTTATCCCGTAAGTGAAGGTGACGAATTTTACCTTGTTAGTGTTTATCGAGTAAATTGTTGCATACGATGTTGTTTTGATGGGTTAGAATCTTACTTGGTAAGGTAATTGATAGAGTTGGATTTTACCGTATAAGTGCTTACTGGGTAAGCATATGGGTAAATGGACATGAGATAATTAGCACGATATCTGTTGGTGCTACTTTATGAGATCCTATTGAATTGACAAGTACCAACCATCAAGATTTAACGACGCATAAAAACGGTATGTGAGTCTTTGGCTTCCTAGGAGGTCAAAGGTTCAAACCTTACCAAAGGTGAGGAGAGTGTGTGAGATTGTTTGTTCTATTTGTCGTATATATTATATACTTCCAAAAAAAGAATTTAACGACGGACTCATATAAGCGGAGATTTTGCATCAAGGATGGAGGAAACGTTTGCTAGAAGGGTACAAGAGTACGATAACATGTATAGTAACATCAAAGGGTCATTGGCCCTGTGGTACCGAGTTTTCAGTAGAACCCAGTATTCCACGAGGTCAATAGTTCAAACCTTACTAAAATGTGAGGAGGGTGAGTATTAACTGAAAGGCTACTTTAATCCGAAAAAGCAAAACACGATGTTTTCATGAATACTACAAATCATTTAACTCGAGGGAAGAACGTAGAACTGGTTTTCCAAAAGGTTAACTTTTTGGCTTTAATAGAAGAAAAAGAAAATCATCGTCAGAGACGGACCATAAATTTTTTCAAACGGTGACACCATTTTACTATAAGAAAAAGATATAGGGAAAAAATGATACTAGCAGGATTCGAACTTGGGTCTGAGGTGGAATACAAGCCTTGCAAACCAACTATATCAAATAAAACTTTTCTCATTGTAGTTTCAAAATACATACGGTGACACACAACAACTTAATACGGTTGCACCTTTCACAAACCTATTTTTTTTTTTGGATGGAGAAATAATACGGTAGCACGTGCTACTACATACACCACTATAGATCTGTCTCAATTACATTAAATATGGTCAAAACAAATATTGTTGCATTTTGATTCATAAAAAGGAGGTAATTTAAAAGATATATGCATGAACTTTGATATGTTCACATCAAACATGTGTAAGAGAACTTTATTGGTTATGTTATGTGGAAGTTTTTAATTCATAACTGAAAAACTAGTTGAATTTTTAATAGATAATAGTAATCCATAAAGATGATATTAAAAAAGGTATGGAAGTTTAAATGAAGTGATTTTGGACTATCCATAAAGCAGGTGATTGTACTGAGATTAGTCGGTTTGCATAGTAGGTTGGATATCCATGTTAATAAAAAAAAGTGGTATTTCTTTCGTTTTGAAATAAGTGTTTGCAATGAAAAAGACATACCCAAGGAGGAATAAAAATCCCCTTTATGGCCATGGAGATTCAAAATACGGTGACTTCAGGCTACCTGCAAAGTAGTAGTCGTTCTGTGATTAGTCGGCTCGCATAGCGAGCTAGATATCCAGGTTAATAAAAAAAAATGAAAAAGACATACAATTTTGGAAAATTTTTAAATTATTATGTCTTTAAATTACTTAAATGATTACTACTAATTAGTGATGGCCAAAAACAGGTCCCGGGCCGGACCGGACCGGTCCTAATTGGTCTCAAGCTTTCTCGTAACCGGTCATAACCGATCCCGGTCCCAGTCGAAAATGGTAAGACCGGTCAAGGTTCTTCATAACCGGTTATGGGCAGCCGGTCCCGGTATTGAAAAATAATTTTTTTAATGATATATATTTTTAATACATTATAAAATTTGTAATTGGGTCACTCAAATACACTTTAAAAGTGCATTTTAATATAATTAAAATTACGTTGTCTTAAAAAAATACATTATAAAAATATTTAATAATACATTTATTTATAAAATTATTTGAATTTCTGGCCGGACCGGTCCCGGTCTCACGAAACTGCCAAAAACCCAACCTGTCCCGGTTTTCGGTCCCATAACCGGTCCTTACCGGGTCGGGTCGATTTGGCCATCACTATTATTAATAACAAAAGAGGAATTGTCTTAATCTCATAATTAAGAATAAAATAAAAAATGTATATTTATTTTTAAAAGCATATACTTATTTTAAGACAATATAAGCCACTTTTTTATATTATCAAGTTACTACAAAACATTCATCTATAATTAACCGAATAAGCTGTGAATCTCAATAAGCGTACTTCGTCCATATGAAAATAACTGTCCACAATTAATATGGTAGACAGTTTAGATATACATAATTATTACTTTTTTTTTGTTAACCAAATGACATGTTTACTCTTATTTAGGGGCCGTTTACCAAACACTTACCCAATAAGTGCTTATCGGTAAAATTTAACACTATTGTTTACTTACCGAGTAAGATTTCAATCCATCAAAACGACATTGTATGCAACAATTCACCCGGTAAGCGCTTACCGTAGTAAGAGTCGTCGCCTTCACTTACCGGGTAAGACACATGGTCCTTGTCTCGCTCTTACCGTGTAAAATTATTAGTCCTTACCATATTCATCCGGTGAGCTAATATGACTTGGGAAACGCCTACCCGAATAAGTGTTTGGTAAACGGCCCCTTAATTTCTTTTTTTTTACAATTCTTAAATATTTATATATTAATTAAGGGTAAATTTAACAATTTAATTATTTAATTTTGAAAATAAACATTTATTTTAAAATAAATATGAAAAAATATAAGCAAAGAGAACTTTCTTAAAATAGAAATGCAGACAATAAATAAAAAGTATGGGAAGGGCATTTAATGGAGGAAATAAATAACCGACTAATAAGGTGGTGGGTTGAGTTGAGGCCCATATCATTTAACAAATTTCATAAGCCACCCCTCAACTTTCACATTTATTACTCTCAACCCCTTCTATAATAAATGAACCCTCCTTGGATCTAATAGTACAAATCATTTGTCCCATATTCATATGTTATTGTAAAAAATAAATAAATGTATATATGGTATATTTCAATGCAACGATGTTTATTTGTACAATCAATACAATCTCATTAATTAAGATATTTATGGAAATGATGATAGTTCATTTATTATAATTTGAATATTTATGTAAGATGATTATAGTTTATTTATTATAATCAATACTTTATATTAGAAAACAATCAAAACTTTTATGAAATCACATATTAATCAAATTAAATGGACGGTTGAGATTGAGTTGTATTGGTTTTACAAATGTAAAGAGTTGTATAATAACTCATATATATATATATATATATATATATATATATATATATATATATATGGGCCTAATCAAATGAGAACTGATTAGTTTATGGTAACTGTGAGTTCCACTCTCAACCACAAATCAACGGATAAATTAGGAAATTAATAATTATGGTAGTTTGAGTTAAAATTATAATTAGATGGCATATTAGGTATTTTTTTAAAAATCCTCACTCCTCTCTCCTCTCTCCGACCTCCAATCTCCGGCCTCTGGTGAAATTGGTATCACAGTATATCACATTGAGTATCACATTGTGTATTATAATGTGTATCACATTGTGTATCTTTGTTTTTAAGGTTTGAGTTGGTATCACAATGGTATCACAGTATATCACAATGGGTAACATTGTGTATCTTTGTGATTACTTGGTACCTGCCGGATTAATGTTCACCGGAGGCCGGAGATTGGAGATCGGAGAGATGAGAGAGGAGATGAGTTTTTAAAAAATATTTAACATGCCCTCTAATTACAATTTTAACTCAAACTACTATAATTATTAATTTCTTAATTCATCCGTTGATTTGTGGTTGAGATTGGATCTCACAGTTACCACAAACTAATCAGTTCTCTCTTGAATGGACACACACACACACATATATATACATATATATATATATATATATATATATATATATATATAATTTAAATGATAATGCCTCAAAAAAATTGGAAGAGGCAAATTTGGTTTTTTTTTTTTTTGGCTTTTTGTATTAACCTTCCCTCTATAATTAAGTTTATTGAATAAACGACTTTTTGATATATTAATCCACTATCAAACAGTGATATATAAGCTAATCAAATAAGTGTACGTCTTATTAAGCTCATTAAACTGCTAATGAACAAACCTTTAGTTATTATACTTTTCTATAACTATCAGGTATTTTTGTTTTCAATTTATATTTAAAAGGCAAATATTCAAACCTATTTATAAACTGTAAAACATCTCAAACAGTTATATTAAAGTAGAGACTTAAGAGTTTGTTTATTCCAACAGCTATGCTAAAGTGTTCTATAAAATAGAGAAAAGAAGAAAGAGATCACACAAAATACATTAAACGTTACAGTTGGATGTAATTTTTTTTAAAATTTTGACTTTTAATACTGTAATTTAGAAAAAAAAAATTATAAAGTATCTGTTTGAAATGCTCCAAGTGCTTCATCCACAACACTCTGTTATACATTGATGATATTCTTCTATATTCTCCAGATAGAGAATCGCATGTAGACTTACTTTCACAGTTTCATTCCATATTAACAGAGTATGAAACTAGGTGGAGGTTTGAATCGACTAATATTCAAAAGCCAATTAATGAGTTGTTAGAAATCTCCCTGAAATACGTTGAAGCATATGTTTCCTCTGATGTAAGGTTTTTTTTTTTATAAAATACTGTTGTGATAAAAGAAAAATGATGTACAAGTTTTCTGTGTTTTATGATACAGATAAATGTTTCGTCAAACATTTAATGGGGTTCAATCAAAATTTGAGAACGCTATATATTATAATAACTGTAAGAACTATTATCATAAGATATTGTTTCACATGATTTTTTTCCATCTAAAACTAGAACTTAATATATTGATTAAGATATATTTATTTGACACTGTGAAACTTTTAGTTGTATATTTTATTCTAAAAACACATAAAAAATGTTTACATTATGAAACAAATATATGTTAATCAATGCAATAAATCCAAGCATTTGCGTTTTAAAATTGTAATAATTAACATCCATGTCGAAAAATAGACATATATGTCGTATCTTTTTTCGTGAATAAGTTATTGCTTCCTGAATAAGCATTTTGAGAAAATTATAAAGAAATGGAGAGTTTAATTTTGCAAAAATATGCCAATTTTTGAAAAAACTTTATAAAAATGGGTTACGGATTGTTCGGTCGATTGTATGGATAAAACTGTTTGTGTGGATTAATTTGTCTGTATAGATTAAGAAAATGCTTTTTATAAGGGTTTTTTCATGGGTTAAAAGAACATGCTTTTTTAATTGAAAATGACAAGTTTGGAAAAACTCTGGTTTTCTGCATAAAGTCATGTTTTAAAAGCTTATTGAATAAATCACTTTCTGTATGGTTAACTCATTACCAAATAGTCCTTTATAAAAACTTATTGAATAAATCACTTTCTGATAAACACTTTTGAGTGTTTGGATAAATAACTTATACCGGTGCCAAACTGGTAATAAGGATTTTTTTTTAAAAAGTTAAACCCTTCTGATTTATAATAAGCTTGATAAGTGCTTTTATAGAAAAATATAAGTTGTTTCAAATAAGCAATCTCAAACACCCCCTATATGTAAATCTATCATAAAGTAAGTTTTAGGGAATTGGGTTTTGTATAAATACTCTATTCGCTTAGGGTTCGGTTTTCAGACCATTCAGGTTTTATACAGCACTACTTTTTGGGTTAAGAAACCCATTTTTTTTACAATAACTTGAAACTACCTGATACATACCTCATTACAATAAGCTTTGAAATTAAGGGATGTTTAGTAGCACGTTTGTCAGATAAGGGCTTAATCAGTAAGAGTCGTCACTGTTGCTCATTTTATCTGGTAACATTCTTGGCCATCAAAATGCCTTTTATATATGCAGCAAACAATCTTACTCGGTAGGTGCTTACCAGTAAGAACCATCACTTACTACGTAAGACTCTCGTTACTTGTCTTGTCTTTTACTGCGCAAGATTCTCGGTCTTTGTTATGTTATTTCGGTAAATTAAGTGATATGATTAACGCTTAACAGGTAAGCATTTGGTAAACGGCTGGTTGCTATTTTTGGTAACTTTTACAAAATGGACCTATTTTTGAAAAGAGAAAGTCAAAGAGGAATATAAATTCAAATGGCAATTATATAAACCAGTTGCAGGCTAACAGAATCCTCAATTTCAATACAAATTATGAAGACGTTAGGAATCATGCCACCGTCAGCCACCGGCATAACCGCCACCGCCATCTTCCTCCTCCTAACTTTTTCTTCCGCCACTCCGATCTCACGGCCTTTCAAGAAGATCTACGCCTTCGGAGACTCTTACACAGACACCGGAAACACCGGAAGTACCGGCGCCATCACCGGTCCCTCCGCCTTCAGTTACGTCTCCAACCTCCCTTACGGCCGGACATTCTTCCACCACCCAACCAACCGCTACTCCGACGGCCGTCTGGTCATCGACTTCGTGGCGGAATCACTCTCATTACCCTACCTACCACCCTATCTCAACCGTAAGGCCGACACCTCCTCCGGCATCAATTACGCCGTCGCCGGATCCACCGCCATCCGCCATGGATTTTTTGTCAAAAATAACCTTACATTTAATATAACACCTCAATCTCTCAAAACTCAGCTTGGTTGGTTCAACAAGACAATGGAGGGGCAAAAATGTAAAACTGCTAAGTCGACGCCGGAAGAGTGTACGGCGGTATTCCGAGATGCGTTAGTGTGGGTGGGTGAGATCGGAGCTAATGATTATGCTTACTCCATTGGCTCGACGGTGGCCGGAAAAACCATTCAACTGCATGCTATTCGCAGTGTAACAGGGTTTCTGGAGGTAATTAAAAACTAATTTTAGATTAAAATATCAAAACGTAATTTAACTTGATTCTTATTTATACTATATTATAAAACATTTGACAAAAACTTTTAAAAACCATTTTTATGAATAAAGTACTGTATATTGATGCACGTTACTTAAAATTCAAGATTACAAGTAAATAATGCATAAGTACAAGTTATTAAAGCTCTATGTTTAAATTTGTGTAACTAACTGCGGATAAGCATAATCAAATAGAAGATAAACATCTCATTTTAAAATATAAATATATACTATATTATAAATATTTTACAAAAACTTTTAAAAACCATTTTTTATGCATGAGGTACTGTATATTGATGCACATTAATAAAAATTCAAGATTACAAGTAAATTATGCATAAGTACAACTTATTAAAGCTTCATGTTTAAATTTGTGTAACTAACTGCGGATAAGCATAACCAAATAAAGGATAAACATCTTATTTTAAAATAAAAAAAATCTAAAGAATAATTATCGAGTTCTAATAAAATAATTAATTATTATCTTTATAAGAAAATTACATTATTAAAACCAAATAGAAATTACTTCGTTATTAATTCTAAATTAAATTATAATAAAAAAACTTGAATTAAAAATTTGCAAAAAATAAGAATTTTAAATAGTTAATTTGATACTAATATCGATATATTTTTGTCAAATTTTTATGATATCTTCAAATTTATATTTTATTCAAAAATAAAAACATAATACCATACTATAACATCGACTGAGATAAAAAATAAAATGAAATATTAAAATCAAGATGTATCTCGATGTATTGTACGAGTATCCTTCTAGGTTTAGGTAACGTAGTTTCAAAACTTCTATTTTGATATCTAAGATATAAAATTTTAAACATTTATGTAGGCAGGTAAACGGTTAAAACACTAACTCTTTCTTTTAATAAAACACAATACATAAAATATCTATGTCAGCAAATAATAATGAGTTGGATACCACATCACTCGCTACATTAGTATGGTAACCGGTTAATGTATATTTTTTTAATTTAACGTCAACTTAATTTGATATATTATTATAAAATATTTCTTTTTTTTATAATTTTTTTGAGTAAAATTATAAATGTGTTTTATTCACATTAAATCACGAGAATAAATAATGGTAATGATATTGTTCACGGGATTTTGATGATATTAAATTGATTTAATTAATTTAAAATACTTTTAAATATTTATGTGAAATTGTTTTAAGGAGATTAATAATTAAAGAACTTTAAAATTTACCGTTTGAAAACTTTTACATTAAGTCTTATGATTTTTTTCCCTTTAATATATCGATTACAATATATTTATTTTGCAATGTGTTTGTTTTATGTATATTTTTTATTTTACAAACACGTTAAAAAGATTTTGAACTGAATATATGTGAAACAAACATATTGTAAAACAAATATATGTTAAATACTACATTAAATTCTAGCCATTGATAAAGAAAATCATCTATACTATATTATAAAATATTTGACAAAAACTCTTAAAAATTATTTTTTATTCATGAAGTATTGTTTATTGATGCATATTACTTCAAATTCAAGATTACAAGTAAATTGTGTATAAGTACAACTTATTAAAGCTTTATGTTTGAATTCATGTAACTAACTACAGATAAATATAATCAAATATATGATAAAATATCTAATTTTAAATATAAAAAATATAAAATATAACTAGAATAATAATTGAGTTTTAACCAAATAAAATAATTATTATCTTCATAAAAAATTATTATTAAACCTAAATTAAATTATAATAAAAAATAAATTACACAAAATATTGAGATATTTTAAATAGTTAGTCTGATACTAATATTAATATATATATTTTAAAAAAAATTATGATATTTTCATATTGATATTTTATTCAAAAATAAAAACATCATCGTTTTCTTAAAATCACATAAAATCGTATTATAAACTGAGGCAAAACAATAAAACGAAACATTAAAATTAAGATATATTTCGCTTCATTATACGAATACCCTTCTACTATAAAATAATATATGATATACTGATTCTTAAATATCTTTTGAGAAAGAAATAATTTTAGAGTTATTAATAATATTGAAATAATTTCTTTCAAGGCTCTTAAAATATTCATTAATAATAATATGGTTTTATTTAATGGAAATTTTGTATATAATTATTAAAAGTTCGATATGTGAGTATCTAATATTATTTTAGTATATTCGTATGATAACGTTATATACATTTACAGTCTGTTGAAAATACTATTTTTCAGGCAGTGCTCGACAAGGGTGCAAAATATATTGTAGTCCAAGGCCTCCCGACCACTGGTTGCCTAACCCTCGCCCTATACCTTGCACCCGAGTCCGACCGTGATGACATTGGTTGCGTCGCAAGTGCCAACAACCAAAGCTACACGCATAACGCCATCCTCCAAACCAAGATCCAAACCCTTCGTAAAAAATACCCGGAAGCAGTTATTGTCTATCTTGATTACTGGAATGCTTATCGTTCCATCATCAAGAACGCACCCAAGCTTGGGTTCCGCGAACTTTACAAAACCTGTTGTGGGTCCGGTGGTGGACCCTACAACTTCGACTTGGGCGGCACTTGTGGGTCCAAGTCTGCAAGCTCCTCGTGTCAAGACCCCTCCCAATACATCAACTGGGACGGGGTCCACCTTACTGAGGCTATGTATAGAGTAGTTTTCGAGATGTTTCTCAAGGGTGCTTTCGCTCATCCGTCACTCGAGTGCCTCTTGAGAAGCAAACAAAACTGCGGATAGATCGACGATAACGACCCTCGGTTTCTTTTGTGGTTTTTCATTTATATCATTTTCCGTTATCTTACATTATTCATTTTTCTTCGATTGGATCCATGCTTGCATTTTCTTTACTCTAACACCATATAAATAAGACCCACAAGATCAAAAAACGTTAAACAACCTTAACTCGCTCACTATGGGTGCATTTGGTATAAGAGATGACGGTACAATATCGTGTTGTCTCATGTTCAGTGTGATATTATACCAAAACCGACTTAACAGGACTTGAGTCCGAGAAAAAGGCATTTTTTTGTATCACCAAAACAAGTGGAACAAATATCAGATGATCTGACAAGATAGATAAACTACTGAACTACCAATTTCAAATTAAAATACAAAAACCTTCCACAATCTTTCACCAGCCTACCTTACTCTTGTCTGTCCAGTCATGTTTGTGTACCAAACACATCCTATAGAACTTAATAGAAACGTTTACCGGTACAAAAGTGTTTTAGCCATGCGACGAGTGTCGTTTCTTACTCGAAAATGACAAAAAGTATCAGCAAAAAATTGAAATCTTCAAAAGATAAACATTCCACTGTATGATCATAATTTTGGAGATTTTAACATTAATTATATCATTAAAATTAGGGGTGTACACGGGTTGAGTTGAGTTGGGTTGGACGGATTACAACATTTTTACAACCCAACCCAATTATGGCGGTTTAGAAAAATCTCAACCCAACCCAACCCTTGCGGGTTGAGGCGGGTTGGCGGGTTAGTAGTTACATAAATTTGACGGATGAAATAATTCATAAAACTTAAGTTTATAGACCATACTATAAAACATTTTATCTAAAAAAGTTACAATAGGTTTATAGGACGTTTTTTAATGTTTCAACAATTGTTTTAAAATGATTTTTAAATAAAATGTCGTATTAAATTTTATAGAAACATTTTGAGAAGTGTCCCGTGAACTCATCTTTTTAGAGGACACCTATGTTCATATGACGTTTTTTCAAGTCGTGTTGTATAAAATAACTAATACGACACTTTATTTTAAAAGTGTCATAGAATTTGTTAAGACGCCCAAAATCATTCTATAAACATATTGTAACTCTTTTAAATAAGACATTTATCTTGTTTCTTTCTATAAAGTATCATATTGGGAATCTTAGACATTTTAGCATCCTATATGATATAATGTTGTTATAGCGACATGTTATAACTAAGTATTTTCTTTTCATTAAAGTACAACATTAAGATGACGGAGGATTTAGATTGATGGATTCGTCAACCAAATATCTATCAATATTATTCATATTCTCCGACATATCAATTTGTTGTTGCTGCAAAAAAAAAAAAATTCAATAATTTTCTCTTGTTTATTAGATTATTTGTCATCATTCTTTGATCGTAAATATCTTTTGGTAACCTATACGTTTAGTTAAAATGAAATACAAACATAATATCAATAAAAATTATATAAAATCAATACATTATATATATATATATATATATATATATATATATATATATATATACACACATAATAAACATATATATAAAAATAAAATTTATAAAAAAATTATATATTAACGGCTGGTTGGCGGGTTGAGCTAGGCTCAACCCAACTTCAACCCTCCTAATTAGCGGTTTGACGGGTTGGGTTTAATTGGGTTGTTCGCGGGTTGGATTGGGCGGGTTTCACGGGTTGACAGTTTTTTTGTACGCCCTTAATTAAAATATTCAACACATTTAATACGCAATAAACTTTTATAAAAAATTGATAATTTCCATCAACTAGTAATGGTATACAAACAATTGCCAAATACTTTTCCTTAGATTCATAAACAGTTGAATATATAATACTCTTGATAACAGATTGATTACCTTTAAGAACCTCTTCGCAAGTTCTTCATCAATCATCAAAGATTTCTTGAAAAAACCCTCATCTTTGACACCTATTCATGGATCCATCACCCCGAATGCGAGCGAAATCAGTTCGTTTGACAAAAGAAAACCATCCGGATCACTTAACCGAATAAACCCAATCTCGTTTTCCAGTTTTTCATCATCTAAAACCAACGAACTGAACTCGTCTTCCGTGATCTCTCTTCTTCGATAATCCAAAAACGCCACATGCCCACTTTTCATATAAGGCTCGTAAACCTTACACAGCTCAACGGCAACCGCACTCCCGAAATCTTCTCTAAAACTCTTCAACTCCAGTCCTTTTGAAGTTCTTAAAGAAAGCATAACAATATCCATAGCCATTTCCCCTTCATCAACATCATCTTCTTGGATATCAACCAATCCACCCTCCAAATTCTGCACATAAGTTGTGTAATCTTTCAACTTCTTTGGTCTTGAATATCTTGTTCCGTTGATATAACTAGCGGAACCGAGGCCGAATGCGTAGAAAGGTTTGTTGATCCAATATGTGTAATTGTGTTTGCATTCGAAACCGTTTTTGCTGTAGCTACTGACTTCATAATGGTTGTAATTAGCCTCTGCGAGCTTTCGTGACGCCATTCGGTAAAATTTTGCAGATTGAGTATCAGAAGGAAGTGGAAACTCACCTGGTGTGTACCTGTAAATCGTTGCATACGTATTGTTAGTTTTGTAATGAACCCATTTGGGAAAAGACCGTAGTCGTTAATTCGTGAAACGAATAAATAACTGTTAAAACAAATTATGTGAACCATAGACTGGATCGAATTATATACATGTTTCAACTAAGATAATCTATATAATATGTATCGACATTGTAAAACGAGATAACAAAGATACATATATACAAATTACAGAGGCGATGACAAGACGCATTACTTTTGTCTTCTGATAGAAATTAGAGAGACAGTGACGCGGACTATAATTTTACATATATTGATGAAATGCCTAAACAATGTAAAATTGGTCCCCACATTTTTGGGACCCTGTTCACAATCACACATTTTAAAATGCTAAAAAACGGCCCTGCCCTCCGAATTTCCACTTCAACCTCTAAATCCCTACTTCCTGCCTGCCACCCTCACACGCTACAGATACAGTTCCCTACACTTAGGGACAGTTTACCAAACACTTATCTTGTAAGCGGTTACGGGTAAAATTTAACACTATAACTTACTTACCGGGTAAGATTGTAGTCAACAAAAACGGCATCGTATGCAACAATTTACCAGGTAAGCGCTAACTGTGGTAAGAGTCGTCGTCCTCACTTACCGGGTAAGATTCTTGGTCCTTATCATATTCATCTGGTAAGGTAATGTGACTTAGTAAACGCTTACCCGGGTAATGTTTGGTAAACGGCCCCTAAGTCTGCTACCTCGGTTCCATGTTTTTAAGAACTCTTACGTGCTCACAAAACCAAATGCTTGCTTGTAACCCTGAGGGCCAGCTCAACTCGCAAATAAAGGCTAGACCTTGGGACTCCTTCCCAGTTCCCATAGGTCGCCAGTTCGAATCTCTTCAGGGTCAATGGGAATTTTCCTGACCGCTATCTTCAGTGCTCCATGGGATTAGTCGAGGTGCACACACACTGGTCCGGACACCCACAATTATACAAAAAAAACTAAATGCTTGTATTTATCACAAAGAGTGTTGTCTTGTCCCTTTAGTCAATTTCCTTACAACCTCATACTAACAAATGACGACTTTTATGTTCATGAGGCTGCTACTAAGTTTTAGATGAATAAACTCTACACATAGATCCACAAAAAACAATACAAAGAAGATAAATCTTGGATAAATTTATAGAATCATATAACACATTTCAGTTTACCGAAGCAAGGTTGACCTCCCAATAGATGTTTGTAAATGAGATAGGCCATGATTTTGCTAGTGATCACAATCGTATCTTTTTGCTTCATGAATAGATCAAATCTTAAGATTCAAATGATTCACCATTCCAAACCATTTTGACAACTATGGTAAAGACTAACATATGATCTTGATATACAACAGGCAATAAAATGAATACCAACAATCACCAAGATTAAATAACAAAACTTACAGTGATCCAAATTTGGTGTCTTTTTCGATTTGCAAGTCGTAAACTGAGACATGAGTAGGTTTTGCTTCAATGGTGAGCCTCAAACTCTCTTCCCACATTTCTTGAGTTTGATTTGGGAGAGAAGAAATGAGATCCATGCTCCAATTCTCAACCCCACATGAACCAACAATCTCAATTGCCTCATGAACCTCCTCAAGACCATGAGCTCGCCCACAAGCCTTCAACAACTCTTCTTGAAATGCTTGAACTCCTAATGACACCCTATTCACACCCAATCCCATCAACTCTTTCAGTTTCTTGGCATCAAATGTTCCAGGGTCCATTTCCATTGATATCTCAGCATCCAAACACAACCCAAATTTGGATCTCAACGTCTCAAGAACCTTAGCAACGAGTCTTGGTGGCACCAAGGAAGGCGTGCCACCACCGAAAAAGATGGTTTGAAGAGGTGGGTGTTGGTCAAAATGTGTTTGGGTTGCTTCGATTTCACGAATAAGGATTTGGATGTAATTTGAGATTCTTGGGTCATCCTCTGATGTTTCTGTTGAAGAAGAGCCCAGAGCAAGTATGGGGAAGTCGCAATAATGGCAGCGTTTACGGCAGAAAGGGAGATGGACGTAAGCTGAAGCTGGAGGGAGTTTGTAAGAGGGAGTTTGTAAAGTTGGAGTATTGAGTGAGGCATTTTGTCGAACAGTTGGTGGGCTTTGTGATATTGCATTAGAAAGAGTGGCGATCTTTATGGGGAATAACTTTTGGGGTTTGGTTTTGGATTGCAGGGTTGATATCATGGGAGCAATCGTTGATTTCAGCATGGTTGGCTTTAGTTTTTTAAGCAATAGACAAGAAAGGAATTCTTCACTAACAATTTGAAATTGAATGTAAACTATTTGTGTATATAGCAATTTGAAATTGAATGTAAGCCTTCTGGAAATCTTACAAACCAATCTCAAGGGTCCATGTAAATTATCAAATTATTGACTTATTCCGCTGTGACACTGGTAATAAATATTTTTGAGTGTTTGGATAAACAACATATACCGATGCCAAATTGATAATAAGAACTTTTTGAAGAAGTTAAACCCTTCAAACTTATAATAAATTGTTACGAGCTTTTGTAGAAAATCAATTGTTTCAAATAAGCAATCCCAAACACCCCCTTAATCAATGAGTATATTCAACAATGAATACATGTCAAACCTATAAAGGCTCCAACGAGTCACGTACAATAATCGATTTTGACAAGTAGATTTGATTTGGAGTATAAGGGGTTGTTTGTTTATTTTCTAATAGTTCCATTAAAAGACAGTCTCTGAATCGTTAAGAATTGAATTTTGTTTGACAAAAAAAGTCTGCATCTTAATGGTTCTAAAACTATCTGAATGATTTTGTATCACATGCCTTCCTTAACCATTCAGCGCCTTAATTTCATTGTAAACAATTTCCAATCAATTATATTTCATTTTGTACTATATCATAAGAGCCTCTTAATCATTCTGACTACTCAATCATTCTGAACAAAACCATTTAGCAATTGTCAAACAACCCCTTAGAGGTGCACATGTTAAATCTTTAGGGGTGCTTCGGTTTATTAAAAAGAATACAAAAACATCAACAACAAAAATTAGAAAGTTCCATGAAACAATGAGTTCAGAGGTTTGGCTAACAAGCAATCGGGCGACTTTTACAAGCGTTTGATTCAATTTAAGAGGTGAAATTTATAATTTGGTAATTATTGGGGGGGTTATTAAGACAACATCTTAGAAGTTCAGGGACCTGCCGTGAAAACATATGTAAAATGTTCCCAAAACAAATAAATGGGAACACCGGGAAGCGAAGGAGCTGCTCAGCCCGGAGCAACCATGGACGGCGGCGAAGAAACAGAGAAGAAAAACGAAAGAGAAAAGAGCACTAATAGTGAAGTACTCGATACAGTCGGCAAAGTCATCGCCACGATCAAAGAAGCCAAAAACGTTGATCAAGTTGTTTGCGCCCTCCACTCTCTCGCAGTCCGCCTTTTTCCTCTCGATTCCCGCGCATTCGCAGGTCATATATAATTATACACCTTCAGTTTGATCATATGATTGATACTGTCAAGTTATTTCGTCTTTAATCACTAAAGTTATTGGACGTGGAAGAAAATTATGTGCTTTTATTTTGATTAGGTTTAGTGATTGTAATACGAAGGAGGTGTTAATTGGGGATTTAGTATAAATGATCAAGGGTTACTAACTGCTTTAATTTTTTTATGAATTTGTAGGTAGCATTGACAAACAGTATAGAGATGAGGTTTGTAATCTTTTGTTTATTTAAAAGTTCCTGTTGATATTTCTTAGTTATTGCTCCTTGGTTTCTTGAAATCCCAACAAACTAGTTTTCTTAGTTCATAATTGAAGTTAATTCATGTGATAGAAATGGAAATTGCATTATCCCAGAGAAGTTGTACTCCAAATGGATACATTTCTTCTGTTTGACATGGATTCTATTTATCTATTTTGTGTACATGTCCTGAAAGGTAGTAATTTTGAGAATGAAAGTGGATCGACTGTTTGATGATTATGGGCAGAGTAACATTTGTCATTCCTTATGGTCCCTCTTTTTCCTCTTTTTTTGAATATATGGATCGTCTTTGTGGTGTGTACAGGTTATTGGAGCAGAAGTTCCTTCGGAACACGAAAGAGATAACTGGTGGCAGGTGTTTTATCGAAGTACCGCATTTCCAACAATGTCTAGAGTCTTGTTGTTTGGTAATCACAAATTTCATAGCTCCTCTATAGAGCACACCAGTGATCTATGAAGAAAAGCTTTCGCCTGTGTTCTATATATTGTAGAAATTGCAAAATTTTCACCAAAGTGAAGCACTTATTAGTGTTGAGATTTTATATTTCAGGTTGCTAATAGTAGGTGTTGTGATATGCAGATGTTGCTTTGGATTGGCTAACCTGTTTTCCCATTTCTGCAAAGAAACATTTGTATGATGTATTCTTTTTAAGCGGTTGTGTCTCTGAGGTTGTACAAACTTTAGTTCCTTATTTACAACATCAGTCAAATGGGGGACTTGAAACAAGCGTCTGCTCAAATGCACAGAGGTATTGCCAATGTTTGTATGTCATTTGGTTATAGCACTAATATTTGGTAGATTTAGTCTGGTACTTGTGTAGGGTTGTGCATGGCTAAAAGCTATATGAGTTATCTTTTTATTTCATCTTATCTTTCTTTATTTTCTGGGTTCCAGGAGCATATAGAATTGTCCCCCATATAAACGTGCTTTTCTGTAGGAGTAGTTCATTGGTCTAGTTATCACAAGTGTGCTTTTTAATCTGCCTAATATGTATTTATGTGGTTCTGATAGCATGGTTAAAAGTTCAGATACTACCAATTTTGAACCTTTACAGCCGGAAGTCTGTAGCATGAGAAATTAGACGATCATATTAAAAGCAGACAGAGAATACCTGACAATGCCCGTCCTTTGTGATTAGGGATTGGATTTTTAGATCTAACCTCTGTATATATGACAGATTACTGGCACTATGCTTGCTTGAAAATGATGGGGTGCTCCAGTTGGCTAGAGAATTTTCTCAACACCCCGAAAACATGAATCTTGAGCAGCACAAGTCTGCAATCTCTAAAGTGGCACAGCTTGTTACATCTGTCCCTGACAAAGCACGATTGGGATCTTCTGTCTTACTTTCATCACAGTATCCTTCATATGTACGAGCAGCAAGAAAGATAATTGATCTTTTTAATTATTATGTTTGTCTTGTGTGATTTGAAACTTATGTGAAAGTTACATATGTCCCCATTCTATCTGGATCGTAATTCTTTTCGTCCCAAACATGTTGGGTTTTGTTATATCTTGATGGGGATGTGTCAGCTTATACGTCAAAAGGATTACAATTCAACTCATTCAGGGAGCAGAAGAATGGGAGAAGAAGTGTTATGATGAATCAACTAACTTTAGTAGAAGTGATTTGGATGGCTCTATCCTATTTATTGGGGATGCCTTCGCCCGTATTTGTAGGCGCGGATCTGCAGGTTTGTTATGACATCTCAAGCACAACAACTTTAAGTGATGTGCACTAAACTTGCAGTATCTGATGTTTTTTTCTGTATCCTACTGATTTACGTTGCATGTCCATATATTACCTGTTAATATAATCTGAATTTTCAGATATTATCTATATGCTACAGCAAAGACTGATAAAAAAGGAGCAAAAATGTTCAACCTTTTTTTTCTGAAAAAGTTGAGCAACATGTGTGAACAGGAACATGATCGAATAATCAGCAAAATTTAGTTGATAAGCATAATAAATTGCAGGCCTAGATACTGATTTTTTCAATCATACAATTATACCTTTTTTTTATCAAAATATTGCTTTTGAAATAGTTTATGGAACATCATGACAGTGATTTCAGGAAGTTTTTAATTTTCTCAACATATATTTCTGTTATATTACAATTAATGGCATTCAATTGGGTATATGGATTTAAGTTTCTAGTTCTTCAATAAGCTCACATGTGCTTGATGGTTATATGCCATCACTATGCTGCAGTATTGGACACTTTATTAGGACTTCCTTTGGACTAAGAGCCTCTTTGAATCAGTTAACCCAAAATGATCATAATTTGATAGAAGGCATGTCTCATTGGATATCTTTTTGTTTGAAACAGTTTGAAACAGCATGCCTTATATTTGGGGGTAAAGACCAAAAGGTTGGTATTTTTCATAAAAGAACAAATATTGCTTTAAGCAAGGGGTCGAACCTGGTACCCCTAGCTGTACAAATGTATCTTCTCAAAATTTCTACAAGAGGGTTTGGATTTGGCAATTTCTTACAATTACAAGTTGTACATTAAAGACTATTTCTCGTGAGTTTCTATCTGATAATGTCAGTTCAACAATAAGATAAGAACTTCTTGTGGCATGCAGATGTGCTGTTAAGTGAAGTGATCCCACAAATTGTTACTCAAGTTCGAAGTGTCTTGCAGCCAGGCAGTGATTTGACTGTTTCTGAAGCGTTTAAATCAAAGCCTGGTTTGCAGTATTGGTCAAAAATAATGGAGGCAATTAAAGATTCATATGCTGTAGAAAGAATATCTGAGCAGCTTTTGCTAAAGCTAGCAACTCAAAATATTAATGATGTTGAAGGTTACTGGATTCTTTGGTTGTTGTTCCACCGGATTTATGAGCGGCAAGCATCAACCAGGTATGATATATCCCTTGGACCCTATGTTTTTCATGTACGTCTTTATGTTTCCTGTAATATGAGAAGTATGACACAGTTGCACGAGATTTAGGACTTATAATCCGTCACAAAGGGACAAAATTACTAAATTTCCAAGATTATGGGAATGCTATTTATAATGGTAGATATTGATCTCATATTGCGAGCTAATTTAACAGAAAGTTACAGGTCCATGTTTATCGAAAGATTTTTACTCTGGAAAGTGTTCCCCGTATGTTGCCTGAAATGGATCCTGCAGTTCTCGGTTCTTCAGTGCCCTCCTGATACTGCATTCAAGATCAAAAGTCAAAAGCATTGCAATATATTGGATACCACACAGCGTCTTCTTGCAGTATGGTCCAAGCGAGAGTTTGTGCAGTCAGCACCAGTAGAGCAACAAGCTTGTATCTTTTTTTCTTTTTACCTGGTATTAATAAAGTTGACTTGATTGCCTTATTTCTCTGTAGTATGTATGAATTATGCTTTTTAGTGTGATTCCTTAATTTGAGATTCAGATTTAACTGCAGCAGTTGGCCTTTCCTTAGAAAAGCTAAAAAAAGAAGATTTAGATGCTACCAAGGATGCGATGCACTTGATTCTTCAAGGGGTTAGCTGTATATCTCGTTTCTTCTACTTGTAGATTGTAATGCTGTAGGGGCAGGTTCAAATGAGAACCGTAAATATTTTCAGCACTTGGGAACCAACTATTCATGTTTTATTCAGGATGTATGTAATGATAGTGATAGATATTGTTGATGAATGTAATGATAGTGATAGATATTCATGATGAATGTAATGATGGACATTCATAAGGAAAATGCATGATATTCATGATGAAAATACATGCTATTCATGATGAAGATGCATGATATCATGAATTATGGAAATGCATGATATCATGAATTATGGAAATGCATGATATATTCATGATTATTCAGGATTACTCATCATGAATGATACTTGAAATAGTTGGTTCTCAGGTTCTGAATATATTTATGGTTTTCATTTGAACTTTTTCCCCTAATGCTGTACTGATGGATTTCTATTTTGAGTTCATTTCAACCTTTTGTTTGATGATGCCAGGTAGGCTGGAGAGCCCTTCTGATTTGGTTCGCAGGATGGCTAGCAGTGTTGCTCTAGTCTTTTCGAAAGTGATTGACCCAAGCAACCCTCTGTATCTTGACGATAGCTGCAGAGAGGAGACTATTGACTGGGAATTCACAACAACCAATACTGACAGGGAGGCATTGGCAATATCAGATGGCAAAGAAACGGAGATAAACCAAGATAAGGGCCATAGTACATTGGTATCAGAAAAGGATTGTAAAGACAAAAAGAACAAGAAAAAGCATAAAGAGTTGATGGAATTAACCTTGGTTGATCCAGATGAGGTTATTGATCCTGCGAAATTGAATAACGAGGCTGCTTCGGATGAAGATACCAACAACGATGACGACGACGATGACGATTCTGAGATTTCTGAAACCTCCAGTGAATCCTCTCTACAACCATATGATTTGTCTGATGATGATACTGACTTGAAAAAGAACTTTGCGCAGTTAATTGATATTGTTGGAGCCCTAAGGAAGTCTGATGATGCAGATGGTGTAAGCCATTTCCGTTTTCTTAGCAATCTCTTGTTGGGTCCTTTGGTTAAATGACTTTTTTGACAAGTTCGTTTTAAATCCATGACCTTTTGACAAGTTAGAGAATGTCATTGCTTAACAGAAGAATGCCACTTCCAAACCCAAGAATGCCTAGAAACCTGCCAAAAGGTCGTGGATTTAAAAAGCACCTGTCATGAGGTTATTTAGCTAAATAACCCCTTGTTTCAAAGTCATAGACTTGTACTGAATGTTTTTCTGCAAGTTCATTTTATTTATTTCATTTCGGAGAGATCAAACAGTTTTATATATATGTTTGTCTCACTTTCTATTTGCAGGTTGAAAGAGCTCTTGATGTTGCTGAAAAACTTATCCGTGCAGCTCCGGATGAACTTTCATTTATAGCAGGTGATCTAGTCAGAACGCTTGTTCAGGTCCGTTGCTCCGATTCAACTTTGGAAGGGGAAGAAGAATCAGCCGAAGAGAAGAGGCAAAAAGCACTAGTTGCTCTGATCGTCAATTGTCCGTTGGGAAGTCTAGATCCAATAAATAAACTATTATATTCACCTAACATAGATACCAGCCAGCGGATAATGATTCTCGACGTCATGACAGATGCAGCGCTGGAGCTCGCTCATGCAAGAACCAGTAGGCAAAAACAACCATCAAGAACCCAAATATGGACTACTGCCGAGACTAAACCATGGTTCTTGCCAAGTAGCATAGGACCTTCGGGTGCAAGCACCTGGAAAGAGATATCAGGAACCGAATCTCCATTGAGCTTGACACAGTCTTATGAGAGGGAGCTCCCTGGCAAGCCAGGTCAGGACAGGAGAGGAAAGTCACGGCGGTGGAGCCGCAAATCAACGAACGTGCTACAAGATAATCAGCTGGAATGGTCCCAGAATAAGTTCCCTCCATTCGCAGCTGCTTTTATGCTTCCAGCCATGCAGGGATTCGACAAAAAAAGACATGGCGTAGACTTTCTTGGCAGGGACTTTATCGTCCTTGGAAAACTTATCCACATGCTCGGTACTTGTATGAAATGTTCCGCCATGCATCCTGAAGCATCTGTTTTGGCACTCCCTTTACTGGATATGTTGAGTTCCAGGTATTACAAACACATCTGACATGGGTTAAATACGGACCTTTTACATGGTGTTCTATTTTTGGAAGGATATGGCTGCCATTTCACCACTCCAAAATTGGTTTTATAGGACTCCATATTATGTCCAAATGTCCTAATAGACTGCTTTACAGGACTTAAGTTCATAGGTTCAAACAATCGTGCCTCCTATATAAATGTGTTACAATAAGTTGACATGATGCTTTTGGATGTCGAAACAAGTTTTTTAGGACAATTTTGAAATAAAGTGTCCTATTAGTTTTTTTATATAACATTGTTTGGAAAAGTGTCTTATAGAGAAAGTGTCTTGTAAAAAAATGTGTTCATAAAAAGCTACTTAGACAGTTTATATCAAAAGTGTCTTAAAGAACTTGTTGGTATGTCCAAATTCGTCCTAACATCCTATTATAACACCTTTATATAGAATGATTGTTTGGTTCCATTAACTTAAATCCTATAAAGTGATCTATTAGAAGACATCTTTGGCATCATATAAAGCCAATTTTGTTGTAGTGATTCTACAGGAGATCCCAAGGGTTGGAAGTTTTTATTTGTTTATTATAACTACTGGGCTTAATTGCAGGGACATAAGTCATCATGCAGAAGCATATGTTCGTAAATCTGTCCTTTTTGCCGCATCATGCATATTGGTGGCTCTTAATCCTACTTTTGTAGCATCTGCACTGGTTGAAGGAAGTAATGAAATATCTAGAGGGTTGGAGTGGGTTCGCACGTGGGCTCTCTCTGTAGTGGAATCAGACACTGATAAAGAATGCTACATGGTTAGTAGAAAACAATAAACATAGTTATTCAATCATGTGAAATGAAATGATAAGAAGTCACTGCACAAATTTTCAGCAAACTAAAACCAAACGAGCCCCGGTAATTCCCATGTGGAGGTGGGTTTGGGAGGGGTGAGATGTATGCAAACCTGACCTCTACCCTGGAGGGTAGAGCGGTTGTTTGCGTGAAGAAAGCTTTTCTATAATTGTTTCATGCAGAATTAAGGGGGAGTTTGGTTGGTTTTCCATTAAGACCGTATGGATAAAATTGTCTGTAATCTGTCCGTATAGATTGGGAAGCTTTTGTTTGGGAGGGTTGTTTCGTAGATGAAAGGAGCATGTTTTTTTAATTTGGAGGGCCAGGTTTGGAATTTTTTTGGCTTTCTGCATAAAGCTCCCCTTTAGAAGCTTACTGAATAAGCCACTTTCTATATCATTAAGTCACTACCAAACAGTCATGTATAGCTATCCGAATAAGCTGCGAGTCCCATTAAGCTGCTAACAAACAGGCCTTAAGTGATTGTTGATAAAAATTTGTTCAGGACCTCTTGATAATCTCCCCTCATTGATCTATTAGATTCCATCTTTAGATCTATTATCAACGATTTAGGTTTCATTTGTTTCTCCTTTTCTTCCGTTTTGTGGGTAAATGCAGCCACTATCATATCTTCATTTCTTTTTTCACACCAAATAAATAGGACCCAGAAATTAAAATGTTAAATGATATAACAAATTGGATGTTTTACCGGTTTGATGATATGCCAGATGCTTGCTATAAGCGAGCTTCTTGACAAACCATAAATCACCATTGTTTTAATGTGTTCAGATTCAACAAATAATATGGCTTCTTTAATGTCGGTTTAAGTGCTATTTTACATGTTATATTGCTTATTGGGTATTATACTGTCAGATGGCAATGGCTTGTCTTCAACTTCACTCCGAAATGGCCCTCCAAACATCCAGAGCATTGGAGTCATCAGATAGCATAGTCCAAACAAGAGGCATAAATCTTCCATCAAATCTGTTGAAAGGGACAATCAGAATTCCTCTCTAATATGTCAGAAAATACTGGTAAATTTCTCCTCTATACTTCAGTCATATTTTAATGCCCAAAATTACGAAGTTGGTACGCCATCCTAATACATTAGTCATTTATGATCTTTCAAGTTTCTCACGGTGTTACTCGATTGGCTAATCTAGGTGTAGTCAAATAATATTTTTCCTTAGAACCACTTAATCTTTCTCTCCTTGAAGTTTAAAAGTTGCATAACTTACTAGAGTAAAAATGGAATAAGATCTTATAATAATTATAAATTAACTGATAATTGCATTCTTGAATCAATGTGCAAAATCCCAAAACTTGACGACCAACATTTTGGATGGATGGAGTAGTTTGGTAGTGCTTCATGTCTTCTACCCGTTTACTCACACTCTTGCACAAGTCGGGGGGGTCTTCAGTGAAACAACTGCTCTACTCTTTTGGGTAGAGGTTTGATATGCCTACCCCCCCCCCCCCCAAAAAAAAAAAAAAAAAGAGACCCTACTCCCGAGTGGGATTTGCAGGGTCGGTTTGGTTTTTAGTTTGGTAGGTGCATGCCATATATACCTCTTTTGCTATACAAGATGGAGAAACATCACTAGAAGTATTGGGTGAATTCCATGAAGCTAACTTTGACCTCTTGGGAGGCGGAGCTCTACCTGTAACCTGGTGCCGTTGAGCCAATCACCCTTTGTTGCAGATTTTCCTTTTCTATGTTTTCAATGTACCTTCTCATTACATTTTTACTCTTTTTTATCTTATGGTTTTTACTATGTGCTAGTCATTGTTCCTGCTGTCTTTTTATTGGGTCTTTATGGAAACAGTTACTCTGTCAACTTATATCCCACTCCCTAGACCCTACTTTCGAGTGGGATATACTGTGTTGGATAGTAATGAGCCTTAGAATTGTCTTTGACATGGTTCCGTCTACTCTTGAAGGTGTAACGGCTCTGCATCTATTTGTTCTCATTACGCTTTGCTTTCTGAAATTCTTTTTAGCCGTGCGAAATTTGCTGTCATCATTGTACATATGGAGTTGCATCATGCATGAAGTTCATAGGCTTGGGGTATGAAAGTATAAATACCCATTAGAAGGGGAAAAAATGTAAGTGTTTCTTGCATGTTTTATTTAACATTGTAATTGACTCTAATGGATGTGTGCATTTATCAGGACTTTTATCTTTTTTTTTCTTCGGAAAAGGGACTTGCATCTAGTTTTCCTCATTGTGGTCTAAGGTCCGGGCTTTTTCAGCCTGGACTCGGGCTTTCCGAGCCCGTTCTAAAAAAGGCCTTGGCTTTTTTTAGGGCCGGACTGATTTTTGGGGTTGAAAAAAAAAAGGTCCTGTGGGGGTTTTTTTGGGCTTAACCGGTCTTTTTTTTCAAGCTCTTTTAGGTCAGGCACCCAAAATATATCCTGATCGGGTTTTGAGGCCTGGCTTGGACTAGGATTTGGGCTCATTAGGCCCAGGCTTTTCCGGGACGGACCTAGGTCGGCTTGGATTTTTTGTGCATATTTAATTATCTATTGTGGATTTTTGGTGCACATTTTTGGCTTAATGGTTGTTGAGTTTAGGGATGCACATGGACGAATCCTGGTCCTTAACCGGTCCTAAAAGCTGAAAAATGGGCCCGAATAGGTCCTTCAGGGTTGGGCTCTGTTTATTTTTAACTATGTACCATTGTTTAATGTATATAAATTCTAGTTTGACCAGGCTTTGCTCTTACCTTAGACCGAGGCTTATGAATGAGGCTTATGAATGAGGACCGGTCTTAAACGGGTTTTTTCCCAATAAAGAATTAGGGATTGATCGGTTCTTTGGGCCTGGACGGTCCTAAGCGTTGTCCTCACCCTAACCGTTTTTCTTAATCGGGCCCAGGACGATTCTCGGTCTTGGTCTCATATTTGCATCTTTATTCAACTTATCAATGCTAGTCTTAACTAGTTCCTTATCCAAAATTTAAGTTTCATTAGAACCAAAGGTCCTAAACTATTTGTAACCGGTCGTTCGTCTCTTTTTAACCAACTTTTTTTCGTTATTATGTTCGGTTTCGGCCTTTTGTGTGTAAGTTGGGTTCCCTTCGATTTTTATAAAAACAAAGGTTTGAAAATCGTATAAAAAGTAAACACAAGAAGCTCTACAAATGTGTGTATAAATATATATTTGAAAACCGTGGTCCGTTTTGGACACCATTTTAAGAGGATTACGTTTCAATCCAAAGAAAAAAATCCAATCACAAGTGTTCTTTACAATTTTGTTATTCTTAAATAACGTTATAAATACTTGATTAATAATTTGAGGTAGAAAAAAGGGTTTAATTAGACTTTTTCAGGTTTTATTAGACTTTGTCGAGAGGTTTTAAGTCGGGCTTAAAACGGGTCTTGAAAAAAGAAAGTTGGCCTTATCGGGATTTGAGGTTGGACCTGGGTTTGGGTTTACTAGATCCGGTGTTTTCAAGCCCGGATCGGACTGAGTTTTGAATTTAGGCTTTTTTTTAACATATCTAAGGGGCTGTTTGGTAATTGCAAAATGATTTGGTGTAGAATTATTAAGTGGTCAGAATGATTAAGAGACTTTCATGATATAGTGTAAAATGAAATATAATTGTTTGGTAATTGTGTACAATGAAATTAAGGCTCTTAATGGTTAAGGGAGATACATGATACAAAATCATTCAGAGAGTTTTAGAACCATTAAGAGGCAGATTTTTTTTTTGTCAAACAAGATTCATCTCTTAACGGTTCAGATGTTGCCTCTTAATGAAACTATTAAGAGGTAAACAAACAACCACTAATATTTGATTTGAATGTTAGACATAATCGATTGTGTTAGTTAATAGAATTGAAAAATTAAGGTTAAAGGACTAAACCTGTATGTCACGTGTAAACAAGGGACTATTTTTGTAATATTAGTATAAACAAGAATAAAGTAAAAATCGCAAGAAAAATAGAAGTCACCACAGCAAAGAAACCTCCGCTAAAACCCTCTCTAATGGCAGCTTCTTCTTCTTCTTCATTATTTGCATCTCTGTTGAACTCTATCTCCTCCCTCTCTCTCTCTTCATCACCGCCGCCGCCGTCACCACCATCCACCGTCTCTCTCTCGTCCTCCTCTTCCTCAAATTCATCGTCATCGAAGATCCTAAAGATCAGACAACCGTTAATAACCCCCATAATCCATGAAGTCTCTCCTGATATCCAATCAGTTCTATTCCCTTCGCTTGCGTTTTCAAATACTTTATTCTTCAAATCGGCGTACAACGTTCAGGTGATCGTGAATCCTGATGAACCTGAAGAGAGTTTGATCGGTCGGTTCCGTCGAGAGGTTTTCAAAGCGAATATTATACAAGAGGCTAAGCGCAGGAGATATTTCGAGACCAATCAGGAGAAGCGAAAGCGGAAAATTCGTGATGCTGCTACTGCTAGACGAAGAGCCAAAAGGTTGTGATGCTTTCGATTCTGATTTATTGAATTCGTTGCGTAGTTTATATATTGAATTTGGTGGAACTTGTTTAACATCACTTCATGATCGCATTGGATAATTTTTTGATCTTATATGATGTCTGAATGAGGATTTCTACATTAAGTTTTGCCTGGAATTCATCTTGATCAAACTAGAATTTATCTGCACATAGCAGGTTTGTGATATCCTATTAAGGGCTCCATGTTCAATCATATAATCTACCATCTCTAATAATACAATTGTTGATGATGAACGTGACAACTGGGAACATAGTTCAAATAATACAATAGTTAACATAGTGTCTTTATGGAATTTGCTCAAAGATCTATGTTTCTTTTGCTTTATCTGTACAGGCGTCCGCGACCAGTGGTTAAAAAGGAGGAAGTGCCACAAAAGAAGGTGGTTGATGATGAACGTGACAACTGGGAACAGATTGATGTTGAAGTCCCCTATTGTCGATGAGAACCAACAGCGATTCTTTTTGCCGATTTAGCAAGGGTTCGATCTTGCACCCTGAAAGCTCTAATTTACTCGTCTGCTCAAATTTGCAACCTATGTGCTTTTGACTGCTAATGATTTAGGTTTTGTTTTTAGAATGCATTTTTGTTACAGTTAAAATCTCTTACGATTAATATATATTTGGAAGCAATGTTACCATTTACATGTTCTACTTATAAAATGCACAAAATAACCATTTTGGTATGGGGACTGGACTGGGCAGGACGGGATTTGACTGGATAGAACTGGACAGGGGAAAGTGGGGTAGGAGGGTGAAAGAATCGTCAAAGGTTTTTAGGGTTTTAATTTGACATTAGTAGTTTAGTAATTTACCAATCTTGTCACGTCTCCCTGATTTGTGTTCCACCTATTTTGGTAGGACAGAAAAAATGCATATTGTCCACTCAGGTCCTGTCATGTCCCTATCTAATTTCAACGTCGCGCCAAACCTGAGACAAGTTTTTGTACATTGTCAGGTCCCGTGTACCGATCGCACCCTCAGGGTTAGGTATGATCCTTGGGTCCTACTTGTCTTGACTGGTCTTCCCTTCTCTTTCATTGGCTCTTGGTTCTAACCAGGCTTCACCTCTGAAAGCTAGGTCTTGCTCAGGTCCGTCGATGCTAACAAGTCGTCTGAAAGCCTGGTCTCGGTCCTTAGTGTAGGCCCTGTTATTTTCCCATTAACAAGTTTGCTGTATATTTTGTCAATCAGGAACACACAGACCGTATTAGCAATTAATACACCAACTTATTGATTAAGTCGTAAACAAACATGTGGCTGAACGATGGCCATTGAACCCTTTTAAGCTGTAAACAAACTGTGCATTAGCATCATCAACCCATGTTCAGTCTATGAAGGGGACCAGTTTTAATCTGTCCAAAACCAATAAACCGGGCTTTAGGCGTAAATGTTTGTCCTAAACGGCTCTCGTTTTGATCCGGACCGGTCTAGGCTCATGTGTCCTTGATCTTGGTATTTCACGAGATTTCGTAGGATTTGTATGTAATAACATTGTAAATTATGTTAAAAACATTTGTCTTGTAATAATCAACAAATAAAAAAGTAATTTAATTATTTTTAGAGGTATTTGCATTTCTTATGTACCTATGGGTGCTATGTTGGATTTGAACCAGACCTTTTACTCTTTTTCATCATGTGGGAGTGAAGTCGTAGCAAGGTAGTCGTACTGGAAGATGCGATTGGATCACCTTTTATAAATTATTTGTAAATAATGGAATTCGATTCCATCAAAATCCTACGAATCAAAAACACAAGATTTAGGGGGCATTTGGTTCACATAATGGAATATGGTGGAATTGGAATCCATAAAATTAATTTATTGAAGGAATTGAAATGAAGATTGATGGAATTTGATCACGTATTTGATTGGTAGGAATTGGAACGGAATCTCAAAAAATTTAGAATCTCCACACAGCCCTTGTCCCTCCTGCTACTCTGCCACCCACATGGGTGGGTGTGATGTTGACAATAGTGGCATGTGGGTAGGAGGGTTAGGGGTGGGACCACCACTACCACACTACTATCGTCTTCGTCACAACAGCCACCCACATTGTGATAGAGACGATAGTGGTGGTGGTGGTGGTGAGAGGGTTGAGGGTGGGGGAGTACATAATAGCATTATCGTGGTGATGGCAGGAGGTGGGCGATGTTGGTTAAATTGAATGTTAATGGATGAAATTCAATTCATTTCTTAAAAAAAAAGAATAATGGATTCATTAATTTGTGAAATTCAAAAGATTCCATTCATTTCAAAAAGTGAACCAAGCAAAGGGATTCGTCATTCCAGTTTCTTCGAATTCAGCAAACCAAATGGCTCATTTCAATTCCAAATCCTTCCATAAAATCTAAATCACTAAAACCATTCCATCAAACCAAACATTCTTTAGGGATTTCTATGAAATATCATCCTCCTTCAACGCTCTTTTCATTTTACATACAGATGGACAACCCAGTTAACTAGTTCATCCTTAAACCAGTCCCAATTGGTACTGGTCACTAGTCCCAACCTCTATGAAATAGCATGCTTGAACCGGTCTGGGTCCCGATCTGGGTCTGAAGAGGTCCAGGAGAACCCAAGTGATCCATTTTCTTTTAATATGTTTAACTACTTTTGTTTTTATTATTATATATTAACTAATTTTTTAATACTATTATTATTAATAATAGTGTTAAAATAACATACATGAAATGGGAGGGGTATGAATTTGTTAACAATATTATTACAACGAACTCCCACAGATTTTCTTAACCGGTCCTCCCGGAAGCATAACCGGTCCTAACCAATCCCAAAGTGGTCCCGGTCCTCCCGGAAGCATAACCGATCCTAACCAATTCCAAAGCGATCCAACCTTAACCGGTCCCAAATGCACAAATAGACTTGCAAGAAGCATTTCGTCACTTACCAAGAACATTAAAAGACTTTATCTTAATGAAAACCATATCCGGAGATTTATAATTTGTTGGACAATACCCCGAGTGTCGGATTCAACTCAAGACCTCCAAACAAACCCAGTAAATCCCGTGCGCTAATAGAATCTAGAGGGTAAAATGTACGCGGATCTTTCCTCCGTCTCAAAATGTAGAGCGATTGATTCCGTAAAACCGCAATTACGAAGCCATGATTGCTAGAAGCTCGGCATTCTGTTCAAACTTCTTCATATGTTCTTCATCCATCACAACCCAAGCTTCAATTCCATCATCAAATCTTGAATCGATAAGAATGATACAGTTTTCATCATTAAAATCAGCACTGCTTATCCAAACTGGCTTTCCCCATCCAAAATCACCTTCATTGACTGAAAATCTACACCAACTGCTGAACCTGAAAACCCCTACACCCTCTTGAATCATAACCTTCCCTATCTGTTTGAAGTTTGCTTTCGCTATCTCGACCCCGTTTTCGCCCGTTAAGCTCTTCAAATACCCGCTATCGATCTTCCCAAACGAGCCTCTCAGTTCGGCCACAAGACCAGCCATATCGGCTGTTTGATTAGTTACTGCACTAGCCATCTGGAATATATTGCCAAACTGATGGTCTTCTAATGGAGGTTCCATCTTTCTCCGGAAGTTTACGGCATGAAAAGCCACCGAGCCTTTACAATCGTCTAAGGCCTCGGTCCCGCACTTCCAGATCAAGGCGGTCACGACCTCAACTTTCGTGGGGTTCACCACGGTGCTAGAGTCCTTGATCACCTCGCGTTTCAGTTTGTTTATGGCCAAGGAACTGAACTCGAATCTCTTCGTTACAAGACTCTGTAACGGAGCTTGACCCGTTGGATCCTTCGGGTTTCGACTGTATTCGTGTGACTCCATCGGAGGAAACAAAGCCGCCGAGTCAAGAACCGGGCCGTTCAACGAAATCTCTCCTTTGGCCTTCGCGAACCAGTGGCTTACAAACGACGAGAAACTACAAGCGTCTGCGATTCTATGAGACACGCATACACCGATTGCAATGCCACCACAATCAAACAAGTTGACTTGGATGGCTAATTGTTCTTCAGTATACGATGATCCGATCCCCACAGACACAAGTTGGTTCAGTTCTTCGATCATCGGGCACTTGATGATGTCCAGTAGGCTGGACTCGACTCGGGCTACCGAAAACCAAACCCCTTGATCGGCGCAATCTATGGTGTTTTGGTTCTTGACCAGCCTTCCAGCCAAGGGATAGAAATGAGCCAAGGTCTGAGAGAGTGCAGTTTTGAGCTTGATGGTCATGGTGGCTTGTGTTATGGTGCTAGATTCATGATAAGTGTAGTAAAGAATGAGTGGGATATAGTATGGAGGAAGTTGTTGATCTATGAAGGAGAGCCTGTAGGTGTTGAGGTTAGAAGGGGTTGCACAAGATGGTATAATAAGCTCTTCTGATAGTACACTTACCTTCATTTTAGGGTTTCTAGAGAGAAAAAGATATACGTACATAGACATATATATATATATATAGAGAGAGAGAGAGGGGGGGGGGTTCGGTTTGTTTAGGAACTCAGGAACCATCTCTTTTGTGAATATTCAAGATAAATGACGTGATAAAATATTCATGATGAATGTGGTGACAAATATTGTTCTGGGTTTTTAAATCAACAACCTGTCCCTATATATATATATATAGAGAGAGAGAGAGAGAGAGAGAGAGAGAGAAAGGGGTAGGTTTGGAGAAAAATCTCCAAAAAAATGAAAAACCGAGGAACACCCTGGTAAAGATTCATCCGGACAGCATGCATATGTGTATATAAGTAAGTGAAGTCGTTTGTTGGTTTTTATGCACGTGTGCAAGTTATGCACATGTGCACATCTTAATCACTTGGACGGTATGCACATGTGCACATCTTAATCACTTGGACGGTATGCACATGTGCATACAAGTAATTTGTGAACAATTTGTCCAGTATGCACACGTGCATAAGAAGCAGGAAACATCATCAGTTACTCGTATGCATCTGTACACACAGTACAGATTAACGGTGGTCAGGGTGTTCCTTAATTTTTCAAATGCTATTTGAGATTTTCCCATAAACCTCACTCCATCTATCTATATGTATATGTATGAAAGTACTCAAGTTAGAGTGGGTTGAATACTAGTACAAAGAAGCAAAATCTTGATGTTTTATGAAGTATCTTGATGTATTTGACATCGGGCTATTTGGTTGAACGACCTTCTCAAAAATTGAATCTAACCTATACTGTTTTGAATCCGAGGCAGGTCAGATATAGGTTATTGAGCTAAAAAGGAGCATATATGAGTTCTTAAAGTGGCAACTATTTGGGTGTAAGCTATCTTTTTATGGCAAGAAGACATATTTAAAGGGAAATGAATCCACATATGTGGGTCAAAAAGCATCAAGTGGTTCTTTTTGAAGGACATCACATTGCTCTCCTTTAGTGAGAATCTTTAAAAAGAATAACCATAAAATAAAAAACAAAGAGATTTGATGCATCTGGATCCAGATCCATCCTTTTTTTATTAACATGGATATTCAACTTGTTATGTGAGCTGATTAATTCTAAGCCGGAGTCATTGTATTTGAACCTCCGTTGCCACAAGGGGATTATTATTTCTCTTTGGATTCGGACCTGAGACCTCCAGGTACTTTTGATCTTTGGAGCCCAATCTCAAACCAATCGGACACTACCCTTGTGGTTTGGATCAAGATCTTTTCATGGTCATATAGAGAATCGGGACGTCGGATTACTCGTAGATCTCAATCTTTTTGGAAGTCAAGAGTCCAAACCTCGTTACATATGAGGACATTGAGGAGTGAGGATAAGTTTTACAGTATATATATGTATATATATATATATATATATATATATATATTAAATGGGATAATCCCCAAAATGACGAGAAGACAAAGAAAAGTCAAGTTTTTTCATATTTCTACAAAACGATTCGTCAAATGAACTTGCCATCGGTATTTTTTATGGAACCCGTTTTTTATAAAGTATTGAAATAATTCATGTAAATTATTAAATTGTGAAATCATCAACCAATGATAAAGTGACACATGTAATTTTGCTAATTAACCCTTCATTTGTGTAAATATTAAAGAAAATGGTATTTTTTTTTTCCCACTTTTTTATGTATTGATTACCCTTTAAGAAAAACCATTGTTTTGATAGCAACACCATTTGTAGTCTAGTGACTAAGGTATCTTCTTGTAGCATTATTTTGTTTTTTTGTAAATTGCAGAAAGGTCCCTGGACTAGTTGGGAACTTACACTTTTGATCCATCAGAATTTTTACTACGTTCTTAGTCCCTTCTTCATTGTCTTCTGAGGACCCTTAGGATTAGTCGAAGTGCACACAAGGAGACCCGAAAACAAATGGAAAACGGTCAACTTGAGACGGGAGATTTTTTTTTTATCTTAAAATAGTCATGTCATGTACAACAGATATTTTATAAATTATAAGCCTAGAAGTTATTATAAAACAAACCATAAGGTTGTGACGTAGTGGATGAGATCCAGAAGGATATTGTGGAATATCCCATCTGCCATGTATTTAAGGTCCAGATGTCCACACCAATTGTGATTTGTGGCCACTAAGTTTATCACGGTTGATGTCTTACAGTCGCAATATATGAACATAGCTTAGAACATCCTTCCAAAAAAACGTATTCTAACACATAATATTTTTTTCTAAAGAATATGTTCGGTTTTTGTACATATCATATTGTATATGTGTTCCAGAAGATGATCAAGGTTTGAAAAACAATTATTAATAACATATTCATATACCGACAAAATGAAATAAATAATTTGAGACTCAATCGTCCTTTTCGTTCTTGTTTTATCTTCGTTGTCATTGTTATATTCTTGATCATCCTACTCGTTATCATGTCATTGTCCTCCAACAATACGTTTTATTCTCGTATATTCTTTCTAGGTTTTCTTCAATTATTGTTTGAAGTATATAATATTTATATACGGCAAATGCAACAAATAAACTCGCACACCCTCCTCACTTTTAGTGGGTTTGAACCTCTGATCTCCTTGGATGCCAAAGACTACAACACCGCTAGGCCAAATGGCTTTTGGTTTTCTTCAGTTATCATCGAAAACAATCTGATCTATCAGAGGTGGATCCAGATTTTTTGTAGTTGTGGTACAAATAATTATCTTAAATTTTAATCAAATAAAAATTAATTACATTTACAAAATAAAGTAACAAAAATTACAAAGCTAATTCATTAATTGGCTATGGATTATTCTAATTGAATTGTAAAATTTACTTTAAAAGACTTGAACATGAGACCTCCTCTAAGGCCGTTCTTACAAATGGCATATACCTAATTAATAAGGTGGCATTATTAATTAAGCCATTCTTACCGCTTTTTCAAAACCACATAAAATCGTATTATTGCACGAGTGGTATTCAACTCAACATTATTTGCTATTCAACCCAATTTCATCCCATCACTCGCCACATCAGCATAGTAACCGGTTAATACTTCAACCGGTTACCCTGATACTTAAATATTCAAAACATATAATGGAAGTCCTGAAAGTATGTTACCCAAAATAAAAATGAAGTTAAATATGTTACTTTTTCATGCAACTTATCCTTTTATTAAATATAACATAAATGATACGACTAGAGACATAAACAAAACCTCGAATGACAAAACATATAGTATCTCCCCTAAAACGATGTCTTATTGCATTAAGCAAATGTATTAATCACAAAAAAGTAAAGATCAGCTTACAGCTGAACGAAGCATCAGAGCAAGGCCATGAGGAAATGATCCATTGTTGTTTGCTGAAAGAGAAGGCTTAATCAATTAAGTGCCATCATTACAGAGCTTCTTCAACTTTGCCGTCTTCGAAAACATCCTTGGGTTGAACGATTTCCAGAAGCTTTTCTTTGTCCAATCGAGTCTTGAACGAAAACAAGATTTCAAACTGAGCTCCAAAGATGCGTTGGCGTTTCAACCAGAAGTATTTCTTGTTCAGTTCATGCCGTTTGGCTTCCATCACCAGCATTTGCTTGTTCGATTGCACATGAAATTGTTCTCTTGCCTTTTTATGAACAAAAGGCGATTTCAACACGGTGAATAAATGTCGTCTTGTAGGCAATCCGATCTTGCGGGTGTCAGATGGAAGATCCCAGTAAAGGCCTTTCTCAATCGGTTCATGAGATCGAATTATTATCTGCATTTTGGTGGTAGAATCGGATTTGTATCTCCTCATTTCATGCCTGACAATGGCATCGCCTGAAGAACTTCTAAGCAAAAAATTTCTCAGTGAAGAAGCCATGATGGTTACAGGTGGCTCCACGGCGGAAATGCCCAGCTTCTATGCGATTGATTTCGTATGAGGTGCGTACGTAGGTGGATTCCGGCCCTACGCCCTGGCAACGGTGAATGTTAGTATTTTAGCGCATTGATCTTTCTTACGGAATAGAACTATAAGAAAAGACGCAAACATTCCCCTGAATGTTTTGGAATTACAAATACAATCCTTCACTTTCCAAATAAAAAGCTAATGTTCAAGAATTGTGTCGAAGTTCGTTTTTTTGGATGATGAGAGATGCACACCACGATATTATGTTTTGATGTTCAGATAGTTTTCAAATGAAAGAAACCACATGGGCCACTTACAGATCAATTTTCAAATGTCAACATTTTCGATCAACACGAATATGCAACACGAATATGCAACAAATTACTTGATATGTGGGAAATGGGTGATTTAACGAACTGCAAACATAGTTTTCTTACATAAATGCACATGAAGTCTAAATCAGTTGCTTTTAAGGGGGTGTTTGGGATTTGCTTATTTAAACCAACTTATGCTTTTTTGTAGAAGTGCTTATTAACTTATGTGGTATCAAATCGGAGTTTCGTAAAAAGTGTTTGGATTAGTTGAAGCAGAAAACAAATGAAATGTGTTGAAATGGTAAACAACATACTGTATCGACACCAATCAAAGAAACATGGATCTCGCTAGCTTTTGCAGTATTTGGATAAACAGAAACACAAAAGACCGAGCAAAATGCAAGTCTTCAACACTTATAATTGGCACAAAAAAGGGTCTTCAATAGACAGAGGTGCTAATCTTGACCATAGAAAATTTTATTAGTAGTTCCACATAGTGAAGGTGAATGCTAGCCATAAATATCATCCACATAATGACCATCTTAGAACTTTGATCCTTTTGGCAAATGAAAAAACGATAAGAAATGAACTTTTACGGGAAAAAGCATTGGTAAAATTGGTCCTACTTCTATTCTCGACTGTCTCACTCCCTCACAAAATGTAAATCCTTAATCTCAACACATCAACAAGGGTAACTGTGTCAAATTCACATATTGATTAATGCAGAAATCTTGTGACAATGAAAACTTTTCCCAATGTAAAGGGTCTTTTGATTAAGGGGTTGATTGTTTACCTCTTAATAGTTCAATTAAGAGGCAGTATCTGAATCGTTAAGAGGTGAATCTTGTTTGGCAAAAAAAAAAAGTCTGCCTCTTAATGGTTCCAAAATCCTCTGAATGATTTTGCATCATGGATCTCCCTTAACCATTTAGCACCCTAATTTATTGTAAACAATTACCAGACAATTATATTTCATTTTATACTATATCATGAGAGCCTCCTCCTCCTAATCATTCTGACCACTTAATCATTCTGCACCAAACCATTCAGCCAGGGCCGGCCCTGAGATTTTGAATGCCCATGGCGGAAAGCCAAAAAAATGCCCCTTACATGTGTGTATAAAAACCAAAATAAACTATTTGAAGGGGTTTGGAACCTAGTCAATCTAGCCGGCTCATCCCCATGCCGATTTCTTTTCCTATTTTGAGCACCAGATGGTTGTGATCGAGGAAACATACTCAAGTAGTTAAATTGTTAAACAAATGATACGATATAAAGAATAGAAAAATAACATCTAAACTTGGCCGTTCGTGGTTCGTGTTGTGAAATTGCCAAGAAAGTGGATAGATTAAGCAACTTGGACAAATTGATAAAGAAGAAAACATAAGCATCAATCTTAAGCCTTTGTCCTATATTAACCCGCTTCAAAACAGCTCCTAAAAAGCTTCTAAACAGCCCTCAAAACAACAGCCAGAAAAGGACCAACTATATAATTGAACATCCTTTCTTCTAAACAGCCTTCTAATATCTAAACAACCTTCTAAACAGCCTAAAAAGTAAAAAATTTAGAGCTTTTTAGGGCAACTGAAGCTGTTATAACGTTGTAGTTAAAATAGTGGGTCTTCTTAACTGAATGGCTTTCTTTAAAGCTTATTTGCTGCAATATTTGTGGCAATGGAGTCCCAGATCTAATGAATTTACCTTAGGGGCCATCATGGTGAACATGAGCCCCTCCTTTAGAATATTTCGTTGTTTATGTTGAATAGCTCATGCTTGTGATCAAATGATGGTGAAGCACTTAAGCTTCATTGTAAATACCATAACCAATTCCCTATGAAAAGGTAATTGTGGCCTAGAATCACTCATCCTGTCATCCATCCTCATGCATCAAACTGGTTAAGTGCTTCACCATCATTTGATCACAAGCATGAGCTATTCAGTTATCAAGGGGGTAGGTCCTGGTGGGGAAGTTATAGATACTTCTCACCAAGTTCGGGATGGATTGGTGTGGTTCCTCTACTCCTAGGACACCAAAATATCCTCCTAACTGTTATTCTGTATTTCTGTTAGAACTTAGAAGGCTGTTTAGAAATTGCAAAAGAGCCTCAAAAATCAAAACAAAAGTAAAGTGGATGTGGAAATATTCAAACATAAAGTGATCAAAATCAAGAATCTCTATTCACATTTTGTAATGTTGTTTAAATTACAGAAACCCTAAGTAGGCAATTAGGCAYACATATACAGTATTACATTTACATGATTACATCTTTAAATCTTAAAAGAAAACCTAAGTATGGAGGACAACATCATCTAGATTATGAATGAATCAAACAAGAAATCAAGAATTAGAAACATAAAAAATAAAATAAGTAAAGTAAATATTAATAACCCTAACAAAGTAACAGTAACCGGCTAACCTCACAAGTCAATAGTCGAGAGAGAATCGAGACTCGAGAGAGCGAGAGGCGAGAGCGAGAGCAAGAGCGAATCGGTACAAAGGAAAATATGTTCGTCAGTTCCGTGAGCAAGAGCGAGAGCAAGAGATAATCGGTACTGTGGAGGGCGAAAGTCACAGTTCCTGCGAGGAGGCGAGAGTCAAGCTGTTGAGGACGAAAGAGAGAGCGGCCGATTGAGTATTGTGGTAAGCGTAATTTTTTTTTAGGCCCAAAACTGAACCTATATTTGGCTTCATAAACTTGCTGCCCTTAGAATTTTTGTTGCCCTGGGCTCCCTTGGGCGCCAGGGCAGGCCCTGCATTCAGCAACTACCAAACAGCTCCTAAGACTGAAATTACCAGTAGACAAGAAGTATACAATGCTTTTAGGGGGTGTTTGGGATTGCTTATAAAAGCTACTTTTTAACTTATTTCAGTCTGGCATCGGTGATAAGTTGTTTTCTGGTGTTTGGATAAGAAGTAAAAAACTGTTTATATTGGTGCCAAACCGGTAATAAGTTGTTTTTGATAAGTTAATTCTTCATGACTTGTGAAAAACTGTTTATTACCAGTTTACAATTTTAACCCTGTTTTATTTAACTCCAGTTTGATACCACATAAGTTAATAAGCACTTTTACGAAAAAGCATAAGTTGTTTTAAATAAGCAATCCCAAACACCCCCTAATAGTTTCGATTAATCCCAGCATCGTTTCCGTCCGGACTTCTTTCAACATAAGACAAAAAATGATACTCTTGCATTTTAGAAAGACAGCCAACCATATTACTCTACTCTTCGGAGCCATCGAATCATCCTTGAAACCATCTTTTAGTTCCATAAAAACCTTTTACCTCAAACAGTCTTTTATCCTTGAACCTTTACCCTGTTGATTTCCATTAAAACTTTTTACCCTGTTGATTTCCCCCAAATTTTGATATTGATTCCCAACAATTTCCAACTGGTAGTATACATATTTTGATAATCATTAAGCTACCACAAATATCATACTTTCATGTTCAGCACCAATTATTTTCTTAGATCTTCCAAGTCCAAGCTACTTTCTCTTACATTGATTTGTATACATTTCATATCATAATCTACGAAAAATTCGCAGACAAATTAGATAATAGAACGTATAGATGAAATAACGAACACAAATGAACCGCAGTTGCTGAAATACAATCATGAAGGCAAACTCGCAGAAATTGAAATCACTAACCTCAAAATACGTTATGCATGAGAACGGAATCAGCAGGAAAAGTAAATCCGGCGACGATGAGACGGATCGAGAGTCGCGAAGACAGATAAACCAAACGGGGAAGAGCCAAGAGAGAGTGAGAGACTTTCGCGAGCTCAGAGATTTCGAGACGGCGAGAGTCGAGAGAGGGTTTACTGGGTATCGAATATCGATCGTAACAAAGACAAACGGGCCTTAGACTTGGGCTTTCTGCTTCCCTGGGCCGGGCCTGCTCCACAATTGCTGGTTAGCAGTTGCTACTAACAAAAGAAAAGCAATATAAGATCTGAACCTTTAATTACTTTTAATTTTATGTTTATCTATGAATTGCGTTCTAGAAGAAAATTGATATGGTGTATCTTGGTACACCTCATTAGCGTTGACATTCAATTAGGATTTGATTCAATTGTGGAGATCTCTTCTTACACTTCTCATCAAAACTTTCATTATCACCGGAACTCAACCCTTTCTTAAGTAACACGTAAGATTTCTAAACAATAAATTATATTTTTGTAATGTGTAACATAGAGGCGGTCATATTGTACGGGTGATCGTGAAGATGTAAACACAGAGGTGGTCATACGGTTTTGCACAAAAAGAGGGGAAGAAAAAACGTCACTTTGAGGATCAAGATTTTTGTAATGTGTAATACTTACCGTAGGTGTTCTGAGGGTATTCATCACATAGACGACATCAAAGACGATAGGGGGAAGTGAAAGATGTGCGAATGAAAACACAAACCCGACACATAGAAAAGAGAGAGATGACTCGAGGAAAGCAATGCAGACTTCCTCATCTCTTATCTTGCTTATTCTCATTTGTTTTTGATTCATAGCAGAAAAACTAGATTCACAAAAATGAGGGTGGTTTTTATTTGAACGCTCATATATATATATATATATATATATATATATATATATATATATATAT